CTGTATTAAATCTTTTTCTTGCTCTAAAACCTATAGACAATGATGGTGTAATAGTCATGGTCATTACTTATATGTGTATAGAATAGAATTTGAGATGAGCTAAAGCAGATTTCGGCAAACAGTCAAATCTCATTATCTGAAACAATGAGATTCATTGATCGAAACCAAAATATCTGAGTATGAAAAAACTGCTATTTAGTGATAATGAATAGTATCAAGCTCAAAAGTCTTTATACAATACAAATTTGGAGCAGAGCAAACACCTCCCAAACAGCAGAGATGGGATCAGGTGCCATGGAGGAGTGAGCTTCCCCTGCCAACCAGTCACACCCTCTGTGTGCTCCTCGTCATGATCTGGAAAAAATGGGAAAACCCATTGACAATTCAATGTGTCAGAGATATCAAGGGTAAAAGAATAAATTGTTGAGACTTTCAAATCAATTCAATGTATCCATGATATTCGAGATAGTGTTCAAGATACCAAATTAACTGTTTATGTTTTTTTAAGTGCTCATAAATATATTACATCAGATTCTTAACTCTTTGTTTTTGCATTTTTATTTATAACAAATGTAACATATTGCTAAAAATAAGAAGTAGAATCAAGCAAGGACAATGCATGTAAATGTGTAGTCATATAATTATGAGTGTTATGAATATTTTATAAACCTTCGCAACTTACAAAGTCAGATAATTTTTTTTTCTGAATAATTTTTTTTTCCTTATGAACATAGCATAAAAATAGACATATAACTTTTATCAAAGGTCCTATTTTTTACAAAAATGTTGTAAAACATTAAATCCACAGATTCAGGGTATAACTAGGAGAAGATGTTAACGTTTCTGGGATTTTGTATCAGAATAACATTTTGAGAGGACTTTGGATGGTGGTTGTTGATGAATATACTAGAAGATGAGGATTCAAAGGATTGACGCCTATTCTGTAGGAAATGGCTGCTATCTGTGATTTCAGGGGTAAAGTTTTCATCAAAATTGTCTTCATCATCACTTTTCTTGTCGTCCAGAACAGCAACTGCATCTTCCTCTACCTCCTGCTTCCTTCCTTTGAAGAAATCTTCGTCGGGATCATCTAATCCACTTTTCAGGAGTCTTCTCCTCACTTCCTCAATTCGACGGTTCACTTCATCCTCACGACTCAGATGTAAGTCAGTTATTTCCATTTCTAGGTCTGCGTTTTTAGCTTCAGCGTCCTTTAATTTCCTTTTCAGTTTCTTGGTTTCGTCTTTCATTGCCTTTTCACTTTCAGAATGGAGGCGGTTTTCCTCTTTGACTTGCATGATGAGTGTGAACAATGATCTGAATTCATCTCGCCTGTCATCGTTGTACAACAAGTCTCTGTTACTCTCAAGTTCATCCAGAACCTTATCAAATTCCACAAAGTTTGTGTCATTGATCTCCTTTGAGTTTTTGCCCCAGACCAGGGCTGTTAGCCTATTGAAGATGTGCATGACTTCAGTTGGTGATAGCTTTTCCTTCATTTTGGGTTTTTGATTTGCAGACACAGGGTTGTGGAGAAACTTTTGGTATCTTGCCTCTAGTTTCTCCACTAAGTGTTTATTGTGAACTTTTTCAATCATCAGTGCTCTCTTCAATGCAAGGAATCCACCATTCTTTTTCTTCATTATTGTCAAAATTTTCTTTGTTCGCAGAGGTCTTTTGTCCAAAAGCTAAAATAAGAAGGAAAAATTTCTGTTTATTATGCTTTATGTACTGATGAAAATGACAAGAGTCTATGTTTAGGACTTTGATTTAAAAAAAGATGTCTTTTGAAGGTACCCAAATCAGTTAAAGACCAAGAGATATAGTTATTAAATATGAAGATTTAAAATAAAAAACAAAGAATGAAATGTTAAGTTCCAGTAAATATACCCCACATATTTTATTTTTAATTTTTAAGTCTCTATGGAAATAAACTTAATTTAATAAAACATATTGCACTGGTTTAGTTTACCGTTTAGATATTTTTTGATCCCAGTAGAATCAGAAGACCTCCAGAGGCTTAATGACTCCTCCTCTCCCTTCCCCCTATCAGTAAGGCTGCCTAGACAGTCTAACACAAAAGTAAGGGTGTCCCCTTACCAGTTAGACTGCCCCTTGCCCCTAACCATAAGACTGTTACCTTAGCCCATACCTTAAGGTTGCCCCTTTTACCAGTAAGAATCCCCCATCCCTAACCATACTTCTGCCCCTCTAACCCTTGACCAGTTAGAGCACCCCCCTTACCAGAAGCTCCTTTCTTTCCTCCAGTGTAATGGTACCACTCTGAGACAGGTGCCTGATCACCTGACTAGACGTCCATCCTATGTTCATGATCTCTCTCATCATGGCATCCACCGCCAGAATCTGCTCTTTCTCCATCGTTAGTTTGTCACCAGTCCTCTTGTCTTACATTTTCCTAAAAGATTATAATCCAGCAATTAGAAAAAAAAAATGGTTTCAATATGGCAGATGTGGGACCCAGGGTTACATATTTCATCTGTTCATTATTCAGTTGTTTAAAACTAAATGCTGGGATTTTAAAACAAGTTTTCTCTCACAGGTTTATGACGTAAATGAGAGTTTGACTCTTTAATCAGGTAATCTGGTAGGTTGTGTTAATATTTAAAACAGCAGTCTTAGTACAAGATTTGGAGAGTGCAGTATATATTTAAGATCAGGGTTATTAAGCATTAATTATATACATTCACAAAACTGTACAGAAAATATGTAAATACCTTGCCTGATGATTTCCTTGGTGTTGAGTAAGTTTATGTGGTGGTTGAATGCTAATTCGATTATAGACCTAGTAATTTTTGGTACCTGGACAATACAAAGGATATAAATCCTATTCTAACCCTTTTACTGGGGTTCATACTTAGATTATCCCCGTATTTGGATAGAACCAATAAGAGATCATTATGCAAATTTAATTAAGAGGTCAGGAGAATTTTGTGTTTGAACATATTAGAACAAGTACATGCTCATTCACGCAAATTTAACCCAAATAAAATGTTTATCTGATCATTAAACTGCTTCATCATCATGATACCTTATTATGGACTGTTTATATATAGTTGTGCTCTAATTTGATTGAGGTTTTGAGAAAAAGAATTGGGAAATACATTGTAATAATGTTTTATTTTAATACCTGATGTAACCTACTTTCAGAAACTTAAAGTGACATCTGATTTCAAAAGAAACACTTCCCTCCTATATTTATAGAGCAGAATAATGCTTTCCAATGAATTCTGCTAATTTTGAAAAGAAAAGATCTTCTCTTGCATTCATAAAATAGTACTAAGGAATTATTATTTATTGAAAAAATCATTTAGTTCAGCTTTTATTAGCTCACCTAATAAAATTTGGGGAGGTTATGTTAATAAATAACCTTTGAGTCATTTCCCAATTAAAGATGTTGGAGCAGTTTCTTTTGAAGACTTCAGTCAAAGATACATACGAAGATACTTTTAGTATGTTTTTTGTACCAGTCAAGGTTTCAGATTATCATTTGGTCAAATGCTGACTGACATTTTTCATACTGATTGTAAGGCCATTATTTACACACTGAAGTGTCCACAGATTTTTCCCATTATTTCCTGATTGTGACAAGGAGCACACAGCGGGTGTGACCAGTCAGCAGGGGATACTCACTCCTCCATCCCACCTCTGATGTTTTGGAGGTCCGTGTTTGCTCCACTCCTATTTTGTAATGTTTTATGGACTTTTGAGCTTGAATACTGGTCCTTACATGTATCTCCACATATTTCATGCTGTAATTTCAGCTAAAGAGTAATCAGATTGATGTTTTTGAAGCAGATTAAGCCTAAAATAAAATATTGTTTGTTTGCAGTTGCCTACCGACCCACTGAAAATGCACCCGACCCAAACTTTTTTTTTTAGCCATTTTGTAATTTTTTTTTTTCTTCAGATTTTTAGGATATTGAAAGTGTTTTATTGTCAATTTTGTCTTTATCAATCAGTAGTTTATACCAAGAGTGGAGCTTATTCATGTATAGTAGGCCTATGAAAAACTTTATTTTATGTTACCTAACAAAAATCTGAAAACATTTTTTTTTTCTTGAAAAATAAAATGAATGCCTACCTACCTACCCAGCCTAAAAATTATAGGTCAGCAACTGCAAACAAAGAATTTTTTAAGCTTGGCCTTAACATTTTTGGAGCAGGTCTCATTTACAAGTAAATGTAAGCAACTATGTTGACAAAACATACATGGATGATACATCTAAGAATGCACACCAGGCTTGCTTTGGATGCTGGATATGACCTACAATTTCTTTCTTATGGTGGCCCATGATCATACATGAGTTTGGATATGAATACATAAAAAGTCAATAATTCAGTATAAATACATTGGTAATCAGAGATTACATAGCTCACCTCAAATTTTTCATGAAAGTAAGGCAAAGTTCTATGCAAAACTAATAGTACAGTAGTATACAACCCTAGATGCAACATTTATGCATTTTGGTCTGATAAGGTTTGTAGTTACCTGAAAATGGACTTATCTAAAAACATTAAACTAGTCACTTATCAAGAAAATGTTAGTCAAATCCAGCATCTGAATCAAGTTAAAGTATGTTTATCCCTTGATGCCTCATCCATGCAAGTTTGCTCCAGATAAGGTCTTATAGTTTCTTGGTAGTGGACCTGAATCAAAAACATAAACTTGATCACTCATATGAGCAGTAATATAATTAAAAATTTTAAAGATGTTTTAAAGTAGTACCTAAAAGTACATACTTTAACTGTATTCATTTTGTTTAAATTCAGTATTAATCTCTCTCTCTCTCTCTCTCTCTCTCTCTCTCTCTCATGGAATTTTCTATGAAAATTGCACCTTGTTTTCTCTATGGCTTAAAGATTTACTGGAGTTAGAAAATGGTACAAAGATTTTAAACTTCAATATCATTTCAAAGAGATAATTAATTAAAAAATATTCACTATGAATATAGATTTTTTGAAAACATAAGATTCATTATAAAGTAAATGACAAATGATAGTTAGGTGAAGTCTGATGATATTTGTAGATCCATGCCTGCTTTACTCATCTGCTCCCTCAGGTTGGCCAGTTCCTGTTTTAACTTATCACTCTCAGACTTGGATTTTTGCACTTGGTCTTTTAATTTCTTTATCTCAGCATTTTGTTTCACAACATCAGTCTTTCCCTTCTTAACTTCAGCTCTTTGAATTGTTAAGTCATTTTTAAGTTTCTGATTTTCTGCAGTCAATTTTTCTTCAATTTTCTTCATCTTTTTGTTTTCTTTTTTCATTGAAGTAATGTTGTCCCTTAATTCTTGAAGTCTCATGTCAATTAAAATCGGCAAAGAGGAGTGGAACTCGGTCACATCGCTCAAACTCAGCATTTTACAACACCTCTCCTTCAACTCCTGAATGATATCCACTACTTTGTCAAGCAGCATACCACTGTGCATGGAATCTAAATGTGTTTTCTGACCATTGTTACCATTCAGAAGTGGTATTAAGTGGTCAGTTATGATGTCTTTAAGTGGTGCATCAAAGCCTGGGCCCACAGCACCACCAGAACTACTGGAACCACATTCCTCCATCATAAGAGGCACCACTGTTTCTGTAATCACTCGGTTAATGTAGTCCCGGTCCTTAATGAGTTCTCCCATTCTCTTGGTTCTTTGCTCAAGTGCATTCTCTATCCTTTTGGTAACTGCAGAGATATATAAAAAGTATTTCATTAGATATTAGTGTTTTGTTATTTAAAAAAGCAGTGTTACAACGCACTTTGAAAAATTATGCACTTTGAAAAAAATTTTCAAAGTGCGTTAAGATTGGGACCAAGCTAACGCACTTTGAAAAAATTAATTTTTTTTTCAAAGTGCGTTGATATTGACCATATTAACGCACTTTGAAAAAAAAATGTGAAGATTAATCAATATTCTAACAAATAATCGGTATGATAAATAACAGATCCTGGTTGGATAACTTTTTTATGATAAAGTCACTTCAGGACCTGAGATATTGACGTTTTAAATATTTGAGGTTTTGATAAAATGAAAGGGAAAAGGGTCTTTAAAAAAAAAGAGTGACGATTGTTTAAGATCATTAATTTGTTTTTTTTATTTAAATTCTAGTTTTTGAAACAAGTAGATGTAAATGTGTAAAGGGGGCACTAACAGTGGACAGCTTTAAGCAACTTAGCATTTATCATAATAAAAAGGGGGCAATTTGATTGTTCAAAACTATGAAAATTCTTTTTCTCTTATACGTTTTACTGTACATAAAAATTCCTAGCTTTCATTTGTTTTGTTTAACTCATTTAATATTGAAAGTTTTCAACGTCATACCAGTAAGATAAATACATAATTATACATGTATAAATGTTTTGAGTGTAACATAGACATCGAGACCGGGCGAACGGCCAGGGGAGGGGGGGAGGGCTAAGTCCACCACTTATTTTGGAAAGATATATATATCGTATAAGCATTGAAAATGCAGCTTACCCTTTTTGGGTTTATAAATTGCCCCCCTCCCCTGTTTGTTACCGACACCTATGTATTGGAAAGATAAAGATTTGGCTGAGGGATCTTATACCCGTCTTCTCGATCCTCTTTTCGGCGGGAATAAAACAATTTACAAGTTTTTTGAAAGATAAATACAAATAAAATCTTTCCATTACTAAAATATGATATTTTTTTTTCAAAGTGTGTTAAGTGTCTCCATGGTAAAACATAATGATGTAGACTTTTAACGCACTTTGAAAAAAAATTTTCAAAGTGCGTAGAGTTGGTCCCAAATTTAACGCACTTTGAAAAAAATTTTCAAAGTGCGTTGATTTTGTCCCAATTTTAATGCACTTTGAAAAATTTTTTCAAAGTAGTTAATTTTTTCAAAGTGCGTTGCCACAAAGCAGCAAAAGCATATTGCTTTCCAAAAATATAGATACTGTATAAGTGGAAATATTAGCGAGAAGCAAATTTAATGATTTCTGCTTAAAAATTGGTATTTTATTTTTAACAAGATGTAATTTTAGCAATTTTAAAAAGCTCATTAAAGAAGCTATTACAAAAAAGCGCAATTAATTTTTGGCGATATTCAATTTTAGGGATCTCATAATACCAAAATTTAATCCTCTCTATAAATTCTGCTTATACGGTACATCTGTTGCCAAAGAGATCGAAAACTAATCAATCCAGCATTTCCTTGGCAGTACAACCTACAAACTTCTCATATTATAGACTTACAATCCTGTACTTGATATTCCTGTTCTAGTTTCTCACTGATCCAAGAGTAATCTATTCTCAGTAGACCTACAAACTTCTTAAAGGCACGGGGTCCTCTTCGAGGTAAAATCTCCAACAGGGTGATCACTTTATCTTGTCGGGTCGTCTGCTTCTAGAAAGATACCCACCAAAAAATTAGTGTTTTGAAGACCATTCAACAAGTGACTGTTAATTTTATGCATAACTAGTGAATTCTAACAATCATATCTCAATCAAATGTGTAATTATACCCCCCGCAAACGAAGTTTGGGGGGGTATATAGGAATCACCTTGTCCGTCTGTCTGTCTGTCTGTCTGTTCTTACGAGAGGTACATTGTGGGGTAAAATTAACGTATTTTCCAGCAGTGTGGGGTTTTTTGGGTACTGTGGGGTTAACCCCATAATGAAGAGGTCTAATTACGTTCAAAATTACTCTATGAGGTCGAAAAACCTAAAATTAGATTTAACCTCACAAAGACTTTGTCCAAATTTTGGACATGTCCTTAGCCCAAAACGCTCAGACATTCAGAAATCTGCTGTTTAGAGGAGTTCGGTAATTGAATCGAGGAGTTCCGAATACCTGAGCATGCGCATATATTTAAAACTAACTGCGCATGCGCAGATTACGGAAGTAGCTGTGTTTGGACACTTTGTATTAGCAGTGAGGAAATTCGGAAACACAAAAAGCAAATGCAGTAAGTCTTACTATTTTGTTGCACCACATTGAAAAAAAGCTTTGTAAATTGTTTGACATGCTTCATACGTACATTATGCAGTTGTAGAATTTATTTAAAGTCAAGGAAAGGACATCTGTAGTCCACATAAACACATACCTATTGAAAACGGGCTTTTGTGAAAAAAATTATAATGAATGCACTGATAGTTCTTTTTTTAATCAGAGGTCTGCAATGAAAATCGACCGATACCCGGGAGTCGGGCTAGTGGTTTTCTGCATGAAGGTCGCCCCGTTGGCCAGTAAAAAAAGATAATATTATTTATACACATGCAATACGTGCAAAGCACACCTGGTACGTATTTTCACTCGTTTTTTGCTATAAAAATCCAAACCATTTAAATTTTCCATATAACATGCTCCAACTGTCAATAAATCTCCATAATTTGATCCGTATTTGAGTACTACTTGGCTTATTTACTTCAAAAAACGATCGTGTTTTTTCTTAATTCGAATTTTCTCTATATCTATGGTAAATACATGCAGATATCTCATAACATAAATACATGTGATTCTTCCGACGGGAGACAAAATCTCTGGATTTTTCACGCCTGTTCCGCCCCTCCCGATTAATTTTTAAATCTTCCGTGTTTAAATTTTTTCAAATTGAATATTTTTGGCTTTAATTTTATCCTGTTTCGTAGTATAATTGCTCTCTCTCTCTCTCTCTCTCTCTCTCTCTCTCTCTTTGAATTCATTCTAGATACGTACCAATTGTTTATCTACTCTTCACACATTTGTTTACATGTACTTGTAATCGTACCTTAATCTATAGAGAGAAAATCAGAATGGAAAAATGGAATTAACAATGTCACTGCAATAAATTTTCACAGCAAGTAGGCTTTGTAGGAATCAACATGGGGTTGTATAATTAGGTTGTGAAATTTAGTGGTATATCAATTTGATAAATGACAATCAATGTTTATAAATGAGTGCAGGACATTTTAATCAGTTGTTAAAATACCCATTATGTCACATTTTTTTCACATTCGCTTGTGTAATTATGTGCCCGATAATAAAATTCACCTATTAAAGAAATTAAACAAATTACCTTTAGATACGTATATAAAATTATATAACTCTGTTTGTGTTAATGGAAAAAATATAATTGTCATGTAAGATCAATTTGTACTTATTTTTCAAGATCGACGATTGAAAATTTAAAAGAATTAAATCACAATTAATAGTTTTTCCATAGCTAAACTTAAAGAAATTCAAGCTTAAAGCTACATTTTGTAATTTACAATATTAATTCATCATTACTTTGAATATTTACAGTGAGAGTATGTGACTTAGCTAATACAGGGCTATCAGTATTTTCACACCTGTTAGATTTTGATTCCGTGTAGAAGCTCTAATTGCAATTTTTGTCAAAACAAATGTTTTGTATAGCATGATTATCTCGTGAATTTCACTATCAGGAGACGATCGATAGGGATTAGTTACGCTCTACTGCACTTGACACCTGTGTTGTGTAGAATGATTTTAAACTGCGTAAATACAAATCTTTGGTCAATTGAATAATTTTTTGTGTGTGTCTGCATGTTAGATAGAAATTCTGACAGCTTTATAAAAATAATATTAAAAATTTACCAGACTCTAAAAGCTTCAGCAAACTAGTTGATCGAGGATTAATTGAAGGGGGGGGGGGGGGGGGTTACACTGCTGATCATTACCTGAACATATGATAGTGAAGTTTTTAAATGGATTTTATTGACACTTACTAAAATAAATTTTCATACTTTTAATTCACCATTAAACTGTCTTTTAATTAAAGCTTGTGTATTTTTTCTTATTAAAAGAATAGATAGTAGTAAGGCACATGTATTTCTTCTTGAATGATACTGTAATTCAATTATCATATATTTGAATGTAACAAAAGAACACTCTGAGTTCCCGAAACTAGTCAAAAATATGTCGGACAATTGTCTTGTAAATATTCAAAATTCACCGGACAGATGTAAAATTTACCTGACATTAATTTTTTGTATGTAAATTTTACATATTATAGGATTGGAAATTGTGTCGATATAATAAATAATATGTGTAAATAAAAAGATGGCAAATGCAGATTTAAAAAAAAATGATTAAAATATTTTCTATAAGGCCTGTGTATGCAGGATTTGACGTCGCCGACGGCGTGTGATGACCAACGCTTAATTCATCGTATAAATTTATTATGTCCTTTCTGACAGATTTTTAAAAATTTTTTTAAAAATAAAATCTGTAAAATGACAACTCTTGGTTGATTGTTTGGAATTAGTGGGAAATATATGTTGTTTTCCAGGCTTTTTTCTTTTGGATTTAGGATTTTGGTATTTTATGTGCCAGGAAAAATATTACGTAAAATATCAAACTCGTTTTAAAAAGCCTGGAAAACGTCCGATATTTCTGACTAGTTAAAATTTATTATATAACCTCCACACAGTTAAAAATATGTACTAATGATATAAAGATATGCAAATTTATCATGAAAATGATGATTTAAGTGAATTTGTTGTCGTTTTACTACATTCAAGTCAGTCCGCTATTTTTAGAAAAGGGGAAAAACGCGCATGTATTTTAAATGCTATCAAATACATATAAAAAATCCAGAAGTTGGTATAATATTATCATGCTAATAGATTAAATTATAGAGAAAATATAATAAATGGTAACAAATTGTCTGTAATCAAGCAGAAATAGCAGGCAACTCTTGCAACCCTGCAAATTCGTCCTTCAAAACGAAAGTAGATTGTCACATTTTTTTACTGTCAGAACTACAGAGTGCATATATTTATCAGAGGGAAAATATTTGTTTGACAGTGTTTTTAAAACTGTTTTTTCCTCCCAGACTTATGGAAATTATTATTTTAATATGTAGCTTTTTATAGTAGACAATTTTACACATTTTATTTAAACAAGATCTGGCGCGCCCCTGACGTTTTTTTCATTCCTTTAGTTTTGCATTTGTTTATTGTCAGGACAATTGAATTAAATGATTTTGTTAAGATTATATGTAAACGTTATACAGTCTGTAAAAAAAAAAAAACCATCAGACATTTTGACCGATAAAATTAAGATTTTACCGGTCCCATTCAAAGTTTACGGGGATCCCTTGTGGACCGGTGCGTTTCGGGAACTCTGAACACTTATGAATGTATGAAGTTTAACTGTTTTGTAGGAACAGAAACATCAGTGGCGTAGCTAGGCTGAAAATGAAGTGCATGCTCCAATTTGCAAGGGTCTGGGGCCGCCCTGAGGCCCCGAGTGGGTCCAGGGCAAAGCCCTGGTGGGGGCCCAGGGGGCGAAGCCCCCATAAGCTCCTGGATTCTGACGATTTAAACACTCATAAAATCATAAAAGAAAGTGAAGAAAATACATATCTTGACAACGTTTTACCATTATAAATAAACCAAAGGAGCAATTATAATTGTAGAGAGACGATTTAAAAAAAAAAAGACTTAATTTTTAAGTAATACAGGACATGCTATCGTAGATTGGCTAGTATAAAAATTTTCGGCGATGTTTTTTATCCGCAAAAATTACGAAAAAAAAAAGAATATTACGTAAGGTAATAAATAAAATTAAAGTGGCTCAGAACAATCTACTTATTAATTCATCTTATAAAATAAATATTTTTGTAAATTCAACCCTAAAACTTAATTTCATTTGAGAAAATGAAATGCTCAATTTTTATACCCCACGCAACTAGTTGCGGGAGGTATAATGTTTTTGACCCGTCCGTCAGTCAGTCAGTCAGTCAGTCAGTCCTCTTTTTTTGTCAGCGCAACTCCTTATAAACCGCTGCACAGAATTTCGTCAAACTTTGCAGATATTTAGGACACAATGTGTAGATGTGCATATTACCAGGAAATTCCGATTCCATTATTTTTTCGGAGAATTTCCGCACTTTTTAACTTAGGCATTTGGCCATACCTTGAATATAGAGATGAACAGTTTGTCAGCGCAACTCCTCATAAACCGCTGCACAGAATTTCGTCAAACTTTGCAGATATTTAGGACACAATGTGTAGATGTGCATATTACCAGGAAATTCCGATTCCATTATTTTTTCCGGGAATTTCCGCACTTTTTAACTTAGGCATTTGGCCATACCTTGAATATAGAGATGAACAGTTTGTCAGCGCAACTCCTCATAAACCGCTGCATAGAATTTCGTCAAACTTTGCAGGTATTTAGGACACAATGTGTAGATTTGCATATTACCAGGAAATTCTGATTCCATTATTTTTTTCAGGAATTTCCGCACTTTTTAACTTAGGCATTTAGCCATACCTTTTATATAGAGATGAACAGTTTGTCAGCGCAACTCCTCATAAACCGCTGCACAGAATTTCATCAAACTTTGCAGGTATTTAGGACACAATATGTAGATGTGCATATTACCAGGAAATTCCGATTCCATTATTTTTTCCGGGACTTTCCGCACTTTTTAACTTAGGCATTTGGCCATACCTTTTATATAGAGATGAACAGTTTGTCAGCGCAACTCTTCATAAACCGCTGCACAGAATTTCGTCAAACTTTGCAGATATTTAGGACACAATATGTAGATGTGCATATTACCAGGAAATTTGGATTCCATTATTTTTTCCGGGACTTTCCGCACTTTTTAACTTAGGCATTTGGCCATACCTTTTATATAGAGATGAACAGTTTGTCAGCGCAACTCCTCATAAACCGCTGCACAGAATTTCGTCAAACTTTGCAGATATTTAGGACACAATATGTAGATGTGCATATTACCAGGAAATTTGGATTCCATTATTTTTTCCGGGACTTTCCACACTAAATACTTAGGTTTTTGGCCATACCTTGAATACAGAGATGAACAGTTTGTCAGTGCAACTCCTCATAAACTGCTGCACAGAATTTCGTTAGACTTTGCAGATATTTAGGACACAATATGTAGATGTGCATATTACCAGGAAATTCCGATTTCTTTATTTTTCCAGGACTTTTCGCACTAAAAACTTAGGTTTTTGGCCATACCTTTTACATAGAGATGAAAAGTTTGTCAGTGCAACTCTTCATAAACCGCTGCACAGAATTTCGCTAAACTTTGCAGATATTTAGGACACAATATGTAGATGTGCATATTACCAGGAAATTCGGATTCCTTTATTTTTTCCGGGACTTCCCGCACTAAAAACTTAGGTTTTTGGCCATACCTTTTATATAGAGATGAACAGTTTGTCAGCGCAACTCCTCATAAACCACTAAACAGAATTTCGTTAAACTTTGCAGATATTTAGGACACAATATGTAGATGTGCATATTACCAGGAAATTCCGATTCCTTTATTTTTCCGGGAATTTTCACACTTTCCAACTTAGACTTTTTGGCCATATTTTGAATATACAGATGAACAGTTTGTCAGCACCACTCCTCTTAAACTGTTGTACACAGTTTCGTCAACGTATGCAGATATTTAGGACATATTCCATCATTTTATCCCAAAGAGTTTTGCCTATTATTCAAGAAAATTTCTCAACCACCCCCCAACCACTTCAAATTAATGTTTGGATTTGTATAATGCCAAGAAATTTTGATTCCATTATTTATCTAGAAACTTCATTCCACATTTAAATGTCCTCATATGGAAGACATTTTGATGTGAAGATTTTTTTGCAATTATTGCCCTTTTTGATCTATACTATGTATTTAAAGTGCACTAGCTGTGCCTTTCATTATGTGTTTTACCGTCAAGTTTTGGGGGAGCGTGGGGTATGTGAGCTAGCTCACTTTTTCTTTCATTTACGGTAGCTGCCATAATGGTTTTCGAACTTACAGTGTCAGTGACTTTATTTTTTTTTTTAAGTAGTAAAACTACGCAAGTGTACATGTAAAGAAAATTAGAAGAAACATAACTTTTGATACTACAGTTATAATTTAATTTGTACATGACTGAGAAAAAGTCAAGTCATAGAGTCTCATTATCTTTTTTTTCAAAATGATGTGCATGCTCGAGCATACAAGCATACATGGTAGCTACGCCACTGAACATGCACAAAACCTTAAAAATTTGGAATTCTTTAATTTGATATTTTTTAAATAAGCATGGATTAATATATATATACACACATACAAAGGTTTTGTGAAATTGACATGTTTAATTAAATCAACTGTAGTGGTTATTGCTGTTTATTTATTGACCGACTGGCTACTTCTTTGGCAAACTGGAATAAGAGGCCACCTGTCTAGTTTCTGGACTTCCCAAAGCTTAAAACAAGTTTGACTGTACTTTTTCACCTTTTACCAATATAAGAAAGTAGTTCACAGTACATGACAACTATGCTATAAATAAATTTCGATGAATTTTAATTAGTAACTCGGAATTTTTGTGTGTGTTATAAATAAACATTTGCTTCTGTATTCCTTTGTAGAGTTCAGATACCACTGAAAGTGAACATCAGTGGAACTTTGATGATCTAGGCCACTCTATTGTTGCAACCAGCAGGCGTCGGACATTCATAAAGTTGAAAGAACAAACCTATGACTTGAACACACAATTTGTGATCTGAATATAGTTCACAAATTTAAGGAAAGCAACTATTAAAGACATCCAGATCGGTGGTTAGTACATGTTATAAGTGCCCATAAAATCAAGACAACAATATTATTTTACAATAAATTAAAACATAACCTGTAAAAAAATTCAACATTATCATTTAGAAATATATTTTACTGTTGTTTTTTTTTTGACAGGTATACATGAAGTATGAGTTAAAGACTTTTCAGAGAAACAAGCACAATCCCGATTCATTTTTGCCATTGCCTTCTCCAAACGGCGACATTCAGGACCTGACTTACTTTTCAGAAAAAGAAGATGAATCGATTTTTGAAAGTTAATCTAAAAAGATAACATTTACATGGGTCGTGGATTTGAATAACATTTTCTTGATGGGCAACTAGTTTCAAGTATTTGGATGTCTATTCTCAAGTTACTGCAAACCTTAAATTAACTTCTTGATTATTAGTTAAATGTGAGACCGTGTTAACTTGAAGTAATCATTTTTTTGAATTGAGCTATGTAATCTCTGATTACTTATGTTTATGAGTAGTGTTCAGCTTTAAGACAAAAGGATCTTTTGTGAACATTGCATTCGGCATAGCGAATTTCTATACATTAACAGTCATAGTTTTCGTCTTTTTTAATTAGCGATCTCATTTTAAATGTGAGAAATAATTATTAAACTGAAATGTACATTTATGTTGTTTGATTTTAATTTTTTGAAAATTATAAATCAATTGCATGTTGGTTTTTTTTTCATTTTATTTTAGGGGATGGGAGTGGGGGTGCAGCTCTAAGTTTGAGTATATTTTCCAAAAGGATGTACATCGTTATTTTTGTTTTAAGATCAATTTTAAAATGCAAAATGATGAGATATTAGACTACACTTTTTTTCTTAAAACTTCATTTTAATTAATATATTTTGTTTAAAATAAGTAGCAATAACATGCAAGTTTTAGAGTTATTTGACAACTCACTATATACTTGGTTTTTTTTTTTTACATCTATGAAGATTGTCTCAAATTTTGAGGGTTTTTTTTCTGTGTTCTACATTTATTGACATGTTTCTTATCTGTGTTCAGCTTGTCGAGTAACTGAAAAGTTTGATTAAATTTTTTTTTAAAAATCAGGATCATCTCTTTTATTTATTATTATTAATTTACAATGAAATTATGTATGCTTTTGATGCATAATGTACACTTCAAATTCATGCACCAGCAGATTCAAAGGAAAAATTATCATTAGAAATAAGCAGTAAAGATAAAGAGATTATCCAATTTAAAATAGTTTGAAAAATATTTAAAACAAATTTTCGAGTATGTTATCAAAATAGGAAAAAGTATTATGAGTATTGTTTGGTATTTTTAATAGTAAAAAAAAAAAAGATATGACGTACTGGCAATCGCATCATCTCACTCAGGGTCTTTCCGTCAGAGTTTGGAAAAACAACCTCGAATGTATTAACATCACCTGATGTTAAAGGTTTTGCTTTTCTTGTTTTTTTTCAAATATAGGATAGAGGAATTAAGAAGTCCCTTTTATAGTGTATTTTATGTAATATCATAGCACTGAATAAAGTTAAACTCCATATTCCACAGATAAAAGGTCTTCATGCATTTATTTCGAAGATCATGAAAGGGGGGGGGGGTTGTTGCCATGGAGTCTAACTAATACATTCGAGGTCGTTTGTCAGCTAGTCAGAAAGGCTCGAGAAGTTTCGATTGAACATAGTGGGGGTACTTGTTCTTTTATTACCAGTCCCTGGTAGAGTTTTTTGATATTAGAACATACTTGGGGTTTTCAAACACTTAAATTCATATGGTTACTGGTATCTGTTACATGAGAACACAGCGGGGTTGTTTGTTTAACACTCTGAGGTTACTAAGATGTCTGATATTTTCTATCAGAACATATTGTGGTTCTTGTCTAACACTTTGTGGGGTTAATGTTATCTTTTATCTACAGTCAATTCTCGAATTATCGCCACTCGATTCATCGCCATTTTCGCAATACCGCCATGATTTCCCAAGAACGTTTTTCCTGCTATATAAAATTCTCTTTATAACGCCAAATTCGCATACCGCCATCCGCCACCCTGTTTTCACAACAAACGTCCATTTTTAAGTGTCAATTATCTCGATAAACCGCCACAGGTGTGTGTGGTCAGTGAAGCGCGGCTAATTGGTTGACACTATCCCTGTTGTAAAGCTTGCAAAGGCAGGCAAGGTAATGCAATTAAGTAATTAAACAAGGACTAAATAAACAATAATTTTAACATGAATTGTTATAATAATTTTGTTTTCTGTTTAATAAAATTCATTTAGTCAGTTTTGCCACGAAAGCGGTCGTTGTTAAAGTACGTCAATAACTATATTATTTAGATGATCCCTGCCTTAAAAAATGCCGCAAAGTTTGCTGAAAAATTATTATACGGTATAAATTGTGAATGTTTAATTAACAATGTTGCCATAAACAATACATTTTTCCAAGAATTCATTTTACTTACTATCGGCAATATATCACGACGATCGACCAAGCATGTTTTTTTTTTTTCAATAGCAGAACTGCAGATTTGATTGCACACCCATGTACTTGTCTTTATTTCATAACTGCACATATTGTTTTAGCGAAATTGTACATTAAAAAAAATTACTTGAAGTATTTTCAATCAGAAATGTTTTATATACATGTAATAATAAGAATAGAATCGCTAAATGGTATTTCTAAGAACGGTAACTCTACTTCTTGTTTTCAAGAAGATGGGAAATTCAATTCATCGCCAAATTCGTTATACCGCCATGATTTCTGAATTACAAAAGGTGGCGGTTTATCGAGAATTAACTGTATATAAGAACATAATGGGGTTGTTACACGTTATGGGGTTAGTGTTGTCTATTATCTTTATGAGAGTACATAGTGGGGTTGTTGTCCTAACACTTTATGGGGTTAGTGTTGCCTACTATCTTTATGAGAGTACATAGTGGGGTTGCTATCCAAACACTTTATGGGGTTAATGTTGTCTGTTATCTTTATGAGAGTACATTGTGGGGTTGCTGTCCAAACACTTTATGGGGTTAGTGTTGTCTGTTATCTTTATAAGAGTACTTAGTGGGGTTGTTGTCCTAACACTTTATGGGGTTAGTGTTGTCTATTATCTTTATGAGAGTACATAGTGGGGTTGCTGTCCAAACACTTTATGGGGTTAGTGTTGTCTATTATCTTTATGAGAGTACATAGTGGGGTTGCTGTCCAAACACTTTATGGGGTTAGTGTTGTCTATTATCTTTATGAGAGTACATAGTGGGGTTGCTGTCCAAACACTTTATGGGGTTAGTGTTGTCTATTATCTTTATAACAGTACATAGTGGGGTTGCTGACCAAACACTTTATGGGGTTAGCGTTGTCTATTATCTTTATAACAGTACATAGTGGGATTGCTGACCAAACACTTTATGGGGTTAGTGTTGTCTATTATCTTTATGAGAGTACATAGTGGGGTTGCTGTCCAAACACTTTATGGGGTTAGTGTTGTTTATTATCTTTATGAGAGTACATAGTGGGGTTGCTGTCCAAACACTTTATGGGGTTAATGTTGTCTATTATCTTTATGAGAGTACATAGTGGGGTTGCTGTCCAAACGCTTAATGGGGTTAGTGTTGTGTATTATCTTTTTAAGAGTACATACTGGGGTTGTTTGTCTTATAATTTATGGGGTTAGTGTTGTCTGTTATATCTATATAGCATAGTGGGGTTGTTTGTTTAACACTTCTGGGATATTCTTGTCTATCATCTTCATGTGAAAACATGATGTGTTAATTTACTTTGATGCAATAGTTATCCTCAAATAAAAACATTTTTTTTGCATTGTTACTGCTATGCAGTTGTTGAAAAATGTTATTGCTATATCCGTTCTAAGTTCTTCTGATAAACAGTAACAATTTTAAGTACTTATAATTAGTTGCCTGTGAAGTTGACTTGATATTAAATAATTAATTTTTAACCCCACAAACATAGATCTTTAACCCCACAAACATAGATCTTTAACCCCACAAATATAGACCTTTAACCCCACAATATACCATTTGTTTGAATTCCTAATGAAACCTCTCAAGTCACCACTCTACTATTAATAACCCCACAAAGCAAAATGATAACCCCGCACCTTCCGTAAAATGCACAATGTACCTCTCAACTGTATAGCTGTCCGTCTGTCCGTCTAGCTGTCTGTCCGTCTGTCTGTGCAATCGTGTCCGGTCCATATCTTTCTTACAGAGGGACATTAGAATCTACTACTCCACACTAAGATTGCTCATAACCTAAGGGTGTGTCATGACCTTGACCCAAGGTCATTTGGGGAAGTTCAAGGTCACTGGAAGAAAAATTTCATAATTCGTGTCCGGTCCATATCTTTCTTATGGATAAACTTGGTAGGTTCTCATTTCACACAAAGATTGCCCATGACCCAAGGGTGTGTCATGACCTTGACCCAAGGTCATTTGGGGAAGTTCGAGGTCACTGGGAGAAAAATTTCAAAATTCATATTTGACACATATCTTTTATGGATAAACTTGGTAGGTTCTCATTTCACACAAAGATTGCCCATGACCCAAGGGTGTGTCATGACCTTGACCCAAGGTCATTTGGGGAAGTTCAAGGTCACTGGAAGAAAAATTTCATAATTCGTGTCCGGTCTATATCTTTCTTATGGATAAAGTTGGTAGGTTTTTCTTTCACATAAAGATTGCCCATGACCCAAGGGTGTGTCATGACCTTGACCCAAGGTCATTTGGAGAAGTTCAAGGTCACTGGTAGAATAATTTAATAATTCGTGTCCGGTCCATATCTTTCTTAAGGATAAACTTGGTAGGTTTTCATTTCACACAAAGATTGCCCATGACCCAAGGGTGTGTCATGACCTTGACCCAAGGTCATGTGGGGAAGTTCAAGGTCACTGGAAGAAAAATTTCATAATTCGTGTCCGGTCCATATCTTTCTTATTGATAAACTTGGTAGGTTCTTATTTCACTCAAAGATTGCCTATGACCCAAGGGTGTGTCATGACCTTGACCAAAGGTCATTTGGGGAAGTTCAAGGTCACTGGAAGAAAAATTTTATAATTCGTGTGTGATATATATCTTTATTATGCAAAAACTTACTTCTGAAAAACCCAGCGGGGGGTATTTTGTCCCGATTGGACAGTTCTAGTTGTGAATTCCTTGCAAAATCTCTTTTATATATTGTAAAATTATAAGACAATTTTTTTATTGAAACCATAACTCACATCCACCCTGTCTTTCTGGTCCTCAGTAATTATCCCTGAACAGACCAGTTGTGACAGGAAGGTCAAGGTGGGGTCAAGGTCTTCTAGGAAGCAGTTCAGGCAGTTCTTCAAGGTCGCTTTCTCTCTGGGGTCCATTTCTGGCAGCAGCATTGGGGCTGCTTGTTCTTTTTATTCAGTTTAGCAGATAATTAATCAATGTCTTGAAAAAAAAATAAGATTATGTTTATATTGATCTCTGTGACAAAATATATTTGCACTTCTCTGTACAAATTAAAATTTTATCCAGCATCATCTCACATGTTTAAAGGTAATACATTGTATGGCTCTGAATGCTGCACACAATCTCAGAACCTGACTTTTACAACTCAAGAGGTAGGAACAATTCAATACATTACATAAAAAACTAAGTCATTTTATTGGATGTAAAGTTATCATGTAGGTATTATATGTTGGATGATTTATGCACCAAAATGTATGGTTAAAAAAATTCATGCAGCTTTATGTAGCTCTCTGAATTGGTTCTGAAAGCCTGACAATAGATGCAGAAATTTTTAAGTAGTTGAAGCTTTGTTTCTCTTCTCTTGATTCATAAAAAGTACTATTGACCATTTTTTGTATGAAAATAAACAAATGCATTTTAAGAGCAATGCAGACATATACAAAAGGGTTCTTTTTGTTTTATTTGAATTCAACATTGTAAATGTATAGATACATTTGTGTTTTACAAATCTAACTGCTTTTTGCATTTCTATTTGAATATTTTGAAGTAGGAAGATTAATTTTTTTTTAATTTTAATTGTTTCACATAAATATATTGTTAATGTTGACTCCTTACCTTTGCAGCCGTTGTTCATCTCTGTTTGTTTTTGACCAATGTATTAAAGTCAAGTGTAAGGTTCTCCAAGGGTAAAACAAGTTAGAAATGTAAATCTTGAGAGCACAAACAAACAGAAAGAAATACAAATTCTTCTGACACTTTCATTATTTCAAATTTCTGTACTATTTTTTAAGATAAAGTGACTACTTCCTGCTTTATTACTGGGGTATATTTTTAATCTTTGTATTTATGTAGACATGACGAATTACTCCAATTAGACCTCCCATGCCATACCCCTGTTCTGCATATGTACTTCTATGGATTGAATCCAGCAGATTTAACACTTTGGTTAGACTTTTAAAGTTCTGAATCTATGTTAATCAGATTATCAGCTCAGAGAAGTAGACTGATACAATAGCCAATGGTAATTTAATAGCCATGTGATGTCAAAAACATTAATTAGGCACGTGTGTAGATAAATATCGATTTTCTTTTATTAAAAAAAAAAATGAATGTCTTGGCTCTATAATGTTACTGTACTCTTCCCTGTATCTGGTTGTGTTGACATTGACAACAAAGTTCAACCAAAAATTAGCATCCTGCTTCAGCTTCATTTAATTTTTCATGCACAATAAAATAATTTTTAAAAATATATTTAACTAAAATGAAACTCATTCTTGAGTAAGTGGAAATTCCATCATGATTATGGTGTATTTCATTGCCATAGCAACTGAAATGATAATTTTATAATAATTTTGAGAAACTACACGATATCTGCTTTCAGAATATATTTACATTGGTATATACTGAAATTACAAGAAATACTTTTTAAAAAATGCATTGAATTCTTAATATCAATTTGTCTAGAAATGCTTAAAATCTTTGCCAATTGGAAGGGGTTAAAAGAGATTTAGGGACAAAATGTGTTTAAGGTCTGTCTCCTTGTCTGTTTGTTTGTCTGCAAAAACTTGACCTTGACCATAACTTGTGTATCATTGGTGCTGGGTCTTTATGATTTTACATATTCCTTATGTCAGATTAAACCTTTTTACGGATTCAAAAATTTCGAACTCAAGACCTTGAATTCTGAGGGTCACTCACTGTTGAAAAAAAACTTGAGCTTTAATCATGAGCATTCTACATGGGAACATAAAAGTATTTCACAAATTTGAAGGTACTTCATGACTTGGCATTCAGTAAGTGTGGAATTTTTATAGTAGTATACTGTAAACCAATTATTATACGCGTCATTTTTTATTCGCGACTGACCGCTAGCGAACTAATCCGCGACGATTAATTTCCGCGAACAAGTGGTCACATTTTTTATTTCATAAAGTATTTTTTGCTTCAAATTAAAGTTTTATATCCGCCCATAAACTAGGTAAAATGTTGCCGTGAGTACTGCTTATGCAGTTTTCAAGACATTCTGCGCATTGCGGCCATTTAAAATCTTATATCCGCCCCCTAAAGTGGGTAAAATGTTACCATGAATATACTTCTTACACATTATTCACGACGCTCAAATGAAATCGGGAAAAAAATCTAGGAGATTAAAGTTGATTTAAAACTCTCAATTGTAAAAGTGCCTCATACTAATTAAGTAATCGACGCTTTCTAAGATCTACATAGCCAAAGCGCAATTATTAAAAATGGTTGGAAAAGAGCAGGACTGGACCATAATTAGTCTTAATTAACCAGGCTATCTCTAACTCGTATGTGACAATAAATGAACAATAATAACACAAGCTGAAATAATTATTGACATTTTAATCATTTTTAGACAAATAGTTTTAGATTTGCCATTCGTTTTTATATTTTTTTTAAAATTTCAACTGCTTCTAGTACACTAAAGTTCTTCCGTGATTACGTATTGAACCGTCAGGAGCGGTATTCAAAAAAGGGCAAATAACTCTAATCATACCACATGGTAATATGAACAACTGGTTCGCGACGATAAATATCCGCGAGCAAAGGTTACTCGCGGAACTCGCGGATATTTATCGCACGCGTATAATACTTGGTTTACAGTAAGTGTGGTACCCACACTGGCTCATGATGACCTACAGTGACCTTCATCCTTTTTCTAATCATTGGTTAAGTAATGTTTTGAATAAAGGTATTTCAGAATGATTATTGAATTTGCTAATTTTTTGTTCTCTTCAAAGACTAGATATTGCAGTTCCCTTAATTTGTGGATGAACCATGTGATTAGACCTTGATAATGATACATGTCATTCTTTAGAAAGAAGGGACACAGGAATTGCAGAAGCACAGTGACAAAGCAAATAATTAGGTGACTCACTTTTAAAGAAATATCTTATCTGATTGCATATTAACAGTAGTATTTCAGGGGTAAATGATATTTTTTTTTGATTTTATAAAGCCTGTTCTATTTGTATCCTAGTGTGCCCTTCAAATATTTACAAAAGATATTTAAGATTTTTGAAGAAAAAAGGGTCTTAATAGAGTGCAGAGTTTCAACTTCCTTATGTTTTTTTTTTATTATTTACTAGAGAATATGTCTTTATCTTTTTCTGTATTTCCAACTGTCCAAATGTTGAAGTAAATATTAATGTGAAAGACCTTATTAAGGAATGATGAACATTATGGTGAAAGAATGAAAAACAATTAGTGAACAATAAGTTTCATCATGAAGTTGCTTAGTTTTGGAGTTTCATCAGATCCGTTTTTACTTATCTTGTTTTATTATTATTATTTTTTTTTTTTTTGAATTGCAACACAACAATTCCTTCTTAGGAACAAGCAACACTTACTTTGATGATGATTTATTTACATTAGAAATATTCAAACTGAAATATTATACATTGCATGAATTGTTTTTTGGGGAAAAAAGATTGTTTGAATCATCTGTTGTTGAGTCTCTTTTTGTTTGCAGCTTTTGCTCTCAGAGACTTGCTGTTGGAGGTTTTGGAATAAGATGTTTGTCTCCTAGGAGACAAGAAGCGAGCACGTTGTTGTTCTAGTCTGTATTTTAGCTCTGTGTTTTCATCGCGGACTTGATCCCGAGACTGTCTCAAGTCATTGACAATATGTTGTAATTCTGTGAGTGTCTTTTCCTTTTCTGATTGTGTGTTACTAGCTTTTTTGAGTTTTTCTATCTCCATTTTCAAGGCCTTATTTTCTTGCTGAAGTTTGCTTATCTGGTTCGCTTTCACCTCTAACTGAACATCTTTAAGTTGCAGTTCATGGGCTAACTTTTTCTTAGCCATTGTCATCTCATAATTTTCATTGCTCATGTCATCAATTTCCTTCTGCCTCCACTCGAGCTTAACCTCAATATCCTGACATTTATGTAAAATATTCTCCACCAGTAATGCCGGGCTCTTTTTCCGTGAAGTCTCCCCGAGAACATCATAAAGATTGGTCATCTGTTCTTCGAGGTGTTGGATGCGATTCAGCAAAGTCTCGATCTGTTTTTCAACAATTTCAAAAGTGATGGAGTAGGAAGTATGAAGTTCCTCCTTTGAGATTGAATCTTCTGGAAGACAGTCTATGTGAACTTTGAACTTGATGTGGGTGTTCAATAGCCATTGTTTTATAAGTGGAGGAATTTTGTCATTTGATTTGGAATGAACTTCGTTTTGTTTTTTCACTTCAAGCTTAATTTGTTCCAGTAGGAATTGTTCCACTGCCCGTTTGTCAGATTGAGACAGTTTTCTGTGAAGTCCAAAGCTCCTCTGAGTAAAGTTCTCAATTCGTTCAGAAACATCAGTAGCAGAGCACAGTTCTCTTTGACTGGAGATTTTGTAGGATTGATACCTTGATGGGGATCCTGAAACAGGAGATTGGGAATACATAATGTAAATATTTTAATGCAATGTGTATTTTACTTAAGTTCATGAGTAAAAGTGAGAACCGTTTGACATGAAAGGATCTCTTGCAAAATTGGAACTTGTAAAGACAACATTAGGACAAGATGCACTGCACAAAATATTTTTTGACCTTGACCTATTTCAAAGTTAAGAAAAATAGGACTTAACTATAAAACAAGAATCCCTTGACATCAAAAAGTTTGAACTTGGAATATGCAGAAGTTATATAAAGGGGAGGAACACATCACCAACATTCTTGACCTTGTCTTCATAAAGTCAAGATCAGTCTTTTACATCACACCAGCAGTTCTGGTGTTTCTGTCTGACCCACTGATAAGGTAACTTAGAGATCTCTCTAGCCCCAGCCTGGTGAGCTGGTCATTTCTGTCAGGTCAGCAGTTCTGGTGTTTTTGTCTGTTGATCTGATATCTACCAAGCAACTCTAGCCCCAGTCTAAGGACCTGGTCTATTTTGCTGGGCAGCTGGTCTGTTCTGTTTTACCAGCTAAAGGTT